TATTTATAAATGATTAAAGGAGCCGCGTCTGTCGGGTTTCTGGTACCACGCGTGTGGCGTCTTATTGGGTCTGTAACGTGTCTGATATGGATTGTTACTGCTGCTGCTCTCGTACTGTCCCCGTCCGGGCCAATGAAATAATCTGCAGGACATAAAAAATGCACAAGTGGGCGCACATATATTGATCATGTAACACAACATATATGCATATTGTGCAGCAGGTAGGAGCATGTAACATACAACATATAAAGTGCAGGGGGTCAGGAATATGTAATCATGACCCTTAAATTGCTGGTCAGTGGGAGCAAATAATGACCTACCATACTCCCGCCCACCCCACTATAATGACCTACCATACTCCCGCCCACCCCACTATAATGACCTACCATACTCCTGCCCACCCCACTATAATGACCTACCATACTCCCGCCCACCCCACTATAATGACCTACCATACTCCCGCCCACCCCACTATAATGACCTACCATACTCCCGCCCACCCCACTATAATGACCTACCATACTCCCGCCCACCCCACTATAATGACCTACCATACTCCCGCCCACCCCACTATAATGACCTACCATACTCCCGCCCACCCCACTATAATGACCTACCATACTCCCGCCCACCCCACTATAATGACCTACCATACTCCCGCCCACCCCACTATAATGACCTACCATACTCCCGCCCACCCCACTATAATGACCTACCATACTCCCGCCCACCCCACTATAATGACCTACCATACTCCCGCCCACCCCACTATAATGACCTACCATACTCCCGCCCACCCCACTATAATGACCTACCATACTCCCGCCCACCCCACTATAATGACCTACCATACTCCCGCCCACCCCACTATAATGACCTACCATACTCCCGCCCACCCCACTATAATGACCTACCATACTCCCGCCCACCCCACTATAATGACCTACCATACTCCCGCCCACCCCACTATAATGACCTACCATACTCCCGCCCACCCCACTATAATGACCTACCATACTCCCGCCCACCCCACTATAATGACCTACCATACTCCCGCCCACCCCACTATAATGACCTACCATACTCCCGCCCACCCCACTATAATGACCTACCATACTCCCGCCCACCCCACTATAATGACCTACCATACTCCCGCCCACCCCACTATAATGACCTACCATACTCCCGCCCACCCCACTATAATGACCTACCATACTCCCGCCCACCCCACTATAATGACCTACCATACTCCCGCCCACCCCACTATAATGACCTACCATACTCCCGCCCACCCCACTATAATGACCTACCATACTCCCGCCCACCCCACTATAATGACCTACCATACTCCCGCCCACCCCACTATAATGACCTACCATACTCCTGCCCACCCCACTATAATGACCTACCATACTCCCGCCCACCCCACTATAATGACCTACCATACTCCCGCCCACCCCACTATAATGACCTACCATACTCCCGCCCACCCCACTATAATGACCTACCATTCTCCTGCCCACCCCACTTTTACATACTGTTGATCAGCCCTCCAAATGTGTATTGTGCATTACATACTCCTGCCTGCTCCACCCTGCGGGCTGTGCTATATATATGACATACTTACGCTATGGTCTGTACTGTATATGACATACACCTGGCCACTATGCTGCACTGTAACTTACATACTGCGCCTCACCCCTCTATATATCTACTATGCATTACACTCTCCCTAATGCTCCATGCTATAGTCTGTACTGTATATTATATAGGGACAACTACTATGTTGTACTGTACCTTACATACTCCTGATCACCCCTCTATATATCTACTGTGCATTACACTCTATAGTTTCAGAATCCTGGCTGTGCCGGTTCCAACCAGCAGGGGGCGGCATTGCCCAACACAAGAATCTACAATGGAATTCAGACTCTGACATTGTAACGTATCACATGATATTGATGGATAGATAGGAAGTGATAGATGCATGGGCATTTATTCTATCAGATAGATATTATTGATAAGAAAGATCTAGACATTATATTTGGACTTTGCAAGTTATCCAGTTGTGAGAACAGACGTAGCCGCCATTGCTGATCTCCATCAGAAAATGATTCCTGATTGGCTGTGATTCTGATCATTTGGCTTGACGGGTCTCCGACACAATGCAGGTCTGCGGATCCGGAAGCTGCGTGTGTGAAGTAAAATATTCTGCATGGCAACCAAGCAACTCGCAGTTTCAGAGCGGTGGCTTCCATTGTGCTTAAAGGAGACGTCCGTTAAACGTCACCCAATGGACTGGCACTCCCCAGCATCCAGGGCCGCGTCCCGTGAGATGGGGATGATGTTAAACATGGCGCTCCGCGTCCTCCCATCGCCTGCTGCCCCAAAGCGCTCAACAATTTCTGTCATCTGAAATAACGGGAAGACGGTAAAGTAAATCCTCTCCATATGAACCCGTCAGAACAGAACTCAGAGTGTAACTATATCACAGAGAAAGGTTCTGTCATTGGTAATAAAGGTTCGGGGCAGTCATTGCCGTCCGTCAGTCATTCAACAAGCTGAAACAAAAGACCGGGATGACAGGCGGAGTGCGGTAACCTGCATTAGGCTAAACTACACACAGACGGCCACATTCACCTAAAATTCCCCAACGGGGAATAATCACATTCATCACCTGTCTGGACGATTGATTAAGTGACACGTGTACATTTTCCTTTCAATTGCCTTAACCCACGCCAGGACCCTTTCGGTGTCTCACTCCAAGGAGGGTGGATGTGGGTCATCAGGCCTGGTCTAGAGGAAGGATGTGTGGCAAGAGTAAATGCCACACATGTCTAGATGGCACCAGGGACCCAGAAGAAATTCTAAGAGGGTTAGTCGCTAAGCAACCAAATGAATTACTGAGCCGAAGTGAAGGCAGTCGAAGCCAAGGGGCCGATTGGCAAATGTGCCCCCCCCCCCTCCCCCCTAAAATTCCATACCTGACCCTTAGCCCTCGTTCACACCTGAACGTTTTGTAGCGCGTTCTACGCTCGACGAACGCTCTACAAAACGCTCAAACATCTAAATCCCATTGTATTCAATGGTCTCGTTCCCACCTTGGCGTATTTCTGCCCGTCCCTAAC